CAATTAAAAAAAAAAAAAAACATGATTTGCATTCCTCAAAGCCCTGTGCTTTTAATTATTGTAATCACTAAAACCGATGCGATCGAATTTCTAGCGTTTTCATAAAATTAGTTATGGGGGGTAATAAATATTTTTTAAAAATATTTCTACCATGACTTTAATAAAAAAAAAAATATTTTATAATAATTTCGATCATCTGTGAATAGTTCCTGAAAGTTTCATTAACATCCGACAATTATTTCTATTTTTGCAAGATTTTTCAAATTAATGTGTGTCATACCAAAAAAACGTGCTAAAAATTGTCTATGTTATTTACTAGTTCCGCTGATACAAATAGAAAAAGGTTTTTTTAATCAAAATTTAGAATGTTCTAAAAAAGGAAAAATTTTTAAAAATAATTAAAAAAAAAAATTTGGTCTTTCCTCTTAATAATAACATAAGCATTTAGACAATAAAATTTTGTTTTTTGGCAAGGTTTGGCGTCTTTTTCATCAAGCTATGCTCTTTTTTTTAGCTCTTTCTCTTCTTTTTTTTTTTAGCGATTTCGTGGAGGTACCTACTTTAGGACCACATGACAGGCATGTCTATCTATCTCTGATTCCAAACATGATTGTTAATATTTTTTTTTGAAAAAAATCTCTCATCCACCCCTTTTTGCCCATTCACCTTTGGTTATTTATAATGCCTCTTTTTCTTTATGAAATTCAAAAGTAACCAACCACTTAAATCAAACAGAAACGATTGAGATAAAACTTTTCAAATCCCTTTCTAAAACGTGTCTATTGGTATCAAACTTTTAAATCACCAACCTGTAGTATAGTCCCATTTGTGTGAAACTCATGTTTATTATTATTTTCCTTTGAATCTTTAGTTTTATCTTATGGATGTATTACTAGATCATTTTTCAATTTTACTGGATAAAACAATTAAAAAAAACAGAAGATAACAATTGACATTGCATTTAAATTTTTGAAGGTCAAAGTTATCTGGGAAACAAGAAGCCGGAAGAGAGTTGCACAAGTGAGAAGTGTGAGAAAAGAATCTTAGCATAGAACTTACAGCTACATCGAGTTATTTTAGCTGTAGAATGGTGAAACCTAACTGCCAATCTGGTACCTTGAATTTACAAATTTTAGTACTCAAGAGGACAGCACAATAGAACAATTACAGTGAAAATAGGTATAGAAAAGTCACAGAAAAATCAATTCTTAAATCGGTCGAAAAAGTGACTAAATGAGATGCCATTATCCTTCAAACACATAAGATCAAAAAAACGAATTTAATTCATTGAACAATTTGTGCATTGATTTTTAATTCTCAAAATGAGAGAAAAAAATAATTTGAATAAAATTGTAACAAAATGAAAGAAATAAATTGCAATCCCCTTTTTTTTATTATATTTAGATGCTTTATTCAGTGTTTTTTAATACATTCAAATTTGGAAATAAATGTTTGATATTTGAGATAATTTCTGCCAATGTCAATCTTTCCCTAACAATTTTCTTACTCATCTACTTCTCCCAATGTTAATGGCTTAGAAATTATAAATAAAATTCAGAACCACATAATGGATTTTATCCCTCTCTCTCAAAATATGGACCAATAAAATTTATAACCTATTACCATTTTTTTCTTATTTTTTATTGATGTCAAAAATTTCCACAATATATTTTTACTTATTTTTTCTCTTTAGTTAAAGTGGATGTCCCTTAGAAGAGTGAAATTCAAAAGTAACCATCCACTGGTCCATCAAACAGAAACGCTTGAGATTGAGATAAAACTGCCCTTCTTCCCTTTCTATGTACGTGTCTATGGCATCAGGGTAACCTTTTTCAATTTCATTCTGTCCTTTATTCAATTCACAGGCTACATTGTTCTTCATCACACTTTGCATGCTTAAGATTTATTCAATTTTGTGTTGCTTATTTATTTATTCCACTGAACCAGAGAATGCGACTTTTCAGAACCACTCGATCCAAAGATCGAACTCAATTATGGAATATACCTCTTGGATAATTTCTCCACTAAAAATATTTCTGACATCATGAAAGAAGGTCAGAAAAGTATAGCAGCTGAAACAAATATAACCAAAAAAAAAAACCCCCAAAAAACTGAGAATGCTAGTCAGAATAAGAAAAATATATAAAGATAATACGGCATCTCAAAAGCATTAACAGAAATTGGTATTAATACTTTTAACTTTATGAGATAATAGACCCACTCTAAATGCCAAGATTTTTTATAAAACACAGGCTTTCTAATGTACTGTTCATTTAACAATTTGCAAATAAAGGTCAAATATTCATTTTATTAAAAAAAATATTTTGCATAAGCGGGTTATAATTGGATAAAAACCAAGGAAAGTTCTGAATACTTTGTCTGTGGGCCTTGGAAATACTTTTTGAGTACCGTAATTACCCATGTATAATACGCAATAATTTTTAAAAAATTGAAAACTAGAGGTACATTTTATGCTGGCTACTGCAAATCTTTTAAAAATTTTTTTCATAGATCGATTTCATTTTGAAATCAATACCCACCTACAAACATAGACCGACAATTTGACACTTTTATTCGTTTGCGACATCATAATTTGTTTTATCTTTTTTTTATCATACGTACCTAACTGTACTTTACAAATCTAAAATAAAATAAGAATCATCATAACACTAAATTAGAATAATATTCTTTTTTTCAAAAAAATTTAAATGTACAAACAAGGCCATAATGAAGTTGGAGAGGTACAATTTATAAGGTTTGATTACCAAACGAGGGGTGCGTATTATACGTGAGTAGAAGCATTTTCACACACTTTCAGCACATTTTTGGGTGCGTATTATGGATGAAGGCTTTTTATCCATGGGGAATTGTGGCATATTCGGTAGGTGATTGTCTTTATTTAAAAGGGGACAACATTTTTTTTAAATATATTCGTTAAAACTGCTTCCTTCAGACGTAAAACATAACGTTTGAATACTTTGGCTTTTCAATTGGAAAAGACTTTTTTTCTAACGAAGAATTAAATGTTTACAAAAGTTTTCAGCATTTTAATGAGAATCTTGTATAATGAGGTCGGCTGGGTTACAAATGTAGCCAATTCGGTGATAACAGCATTACTGGATGGAAGGTTCAGCCCCAACAGGAGCAACGACCACGTGTCTATGACCAAGACAGACCTTTAATTTGGAGGAGTTTGTCCTGGTAACAGACGGGCACCGACTGTCAGTTCTACTAGCCCATGATCGGCTACTTGTGAATGACTACCTCTCTGGTTTTCAATTTTGGAGAGGACAAGTGCGTACTGACCCTATGATCACATCCAGTCACAATACTGATGATAGACTGAAATTCTTCTAAAAGAATAAAAAACACATCTTTAATAAATAAGATCGTATCAACCTGTGTCACAATTGGAATGAACCAAATTGTAAGGAAACATCTTTCCTTGCTGGGAGGAGCCTAATATTTCTACAATCTTATGCAAACACAGAATGCACTTTACAAAAATTTTGAGACCAAAAATATTTATTGTTTAACTCAGAGTGATTTATTGTTTTGGGCACCTAGCCATTGAACAAGACAAGCTGATAGCCCAGTAACCACCTACATTTACCGGCTATGTTATGACACAATGCCTCCCTAATGACCTTCATCTGTACTATCATCATCAGAACGTTTCAGCAGTTGTACTCTCCGGCCTTCATCAGGTGTATATCGATCCGAGTAACCTACAGGAAATTCTTTATTTAAGGGGAATGGATAATGGCTCGGAATTGTAAATCGGATAGCCGAGTTCCAATTCCAGTTGCATTCGTTATATTCACTTACATGCAAATGACCCTGGGAAAGCTATGAAGCCACCTCACCTCTCCCTCCAGCTCCATATCTATCTATCTATCTATCTATCTATCTATCTATCTATCTATCTCTAAGTCTGTTCATTATCTATCTATCTATCTATCTATCTATCTATCTATCTATCTATCTATCTATCTATCTATCTACCCTCTCTCTCCAGCTATGGGTTAATTAGTAAGATTTGTATCCCTACAATATTATCTACAACAAATAAATAAAATAAAATAAAAATTGCGTACAAAATATTTAGATTCAGGCATTATAACCCACAGAGATGTTGATATGCCGCTAAACAAAAACCAAGCAAACCGATAAGAGCACCACAACTAGCACATAAATTAATTATATCAAACTTAGTATAAAATAAGGAAAATTGAGAAAAATGGCGGTCAGTTGCTAAAACCTCCTGATGAGTGGACTGAGCAATTACGAAAAGTGTTCATCTACGAAATTCAGAGTTGAGGTGCTGCATATATCAATCAACTAAGCGACAAATTTTATATTTGTATTAATCCCGCACACACACACACACACACACACACACACACACACACACACATATATATATATATACCTTCTTATACACATTTTCTATATTAGCCTATCTCGTCTTGAGTTGGAGACTCGACGTCGGTGGTGTTTAAATCTTACCTGATGAAATGTAATAACAGCTTAATTGATTATTTTGGGCTTGTTGCTATGGTAAGACTTTTCACCCTGCTTTCTTTTCTTTGCCTTAACGACATTTATGGTTTTACTGCTGAGATAGAAAAGATTTCCGTTCAAACTTTCTCGGAATTAATGGTAAGTTTCTCAATAATTTATTCAACTTCCGACACACACGCAAAACTACAGTAGCATCTTGTGTACACTTTAAAATTCTTTTTCTTTATTATTATTATTATTTAACTAGGACAAAATAAAATTAATTATTTCACATGGTTAAATATTCTGATATGTGGAGAATTTCTCATTTGCCCTTTTAACTTTTTTTTTATTTAACAATTCGTCAGTTCAGGCGCGCAAAACACGGTTCTATTTTATTTAAAAACAAACAGGAAATAATGTATTTTACGTGCTGATGCCATGAATGAAATTAACAAAAAAAATAACCTTGATTATTTGTCCGAAAATTGTATCAGAGATATTGCGCTGCTAAAACTTTTACATCTATCTATCTATCTATCTATCTATCTATCTATCTATCTATCTATCTATCTTAGTCTGTTCATATCTATCTATCTATCTATCTATCTCTATCTATCTATCTATCTATATCTATCTATCTATCTATCTATCTATCTATCTATCTATCTATCTATCTATCTTAGTCTGTTCATATCTATCTATCTATCTATCTATCTATCTATCTATCTATCTATCTATCTTGGTTGGTTTTATCTATATCTTTATCTATTTATCTTCTCTATCCTATCTATCTATCTGCCCGTGTTGGTTTTCATATTTATATTTAGGTTCTACTTTTGTTTTTTTTTAAAATAACAAAAATACTAAAGAACTTTGGATTATTTACCTAACGAGTTCTTTCCTATTTTCTATTTTTCACACACACACACACACACACACACACACACACACACACACACACACACACACACACACACACACACACACACACATATATATATATATATATATATATATATATATATATATATATATATATATATATATATATAAGAAAATCTGACGATTGCGTCTAGCATGAAACAGCCTATCGCCTGAGTGTTGACTTCAATGTTCACTTTTATATTTACATCCTATATCTCTGATATTGAGCACTTTATCCTATAAATATAGCACACCTTAAGAGTATATTTCTTCATATATATATATATATATATATATAAGATGAAACCAAATAGAGCATACTTCCAACGTTCGTAAAATTTAATTTAAAAGTGGGCTCAATAAAAAGAGTAGACTAGTATTATTTTTTTTATGATATTACACCGAAAACATGTCAAAATCGCTACACAATTGCAGTCGTGTTTCGATGCGTATCGATGCATCTCATCAGGCGATTGTAAATTACTGGGGAGTGAACGATTTATTCAGATTTAAAAGCAAAATAAAACCTCTTTTGACGAAAATAATAAAAACAGAAACCTTATAACGCCCTCCCCCCCTTCCTGGAAAGGGATGCAACGATGGCATAAATATAATCGTACTAGTCCAAGGAATTGCTTAGCTCTCCAACTGTATACTTGCTTTGTCGACGTCATAGCATTGCATATGAACAAACATCAATAGGGACTTTCTCTCCTCCTCCATTAGAAATCGTCTTCTAAGTTCATTATCCATTGAATGCATTGATCTAATGGAAGCACTGTATCGATCTACAGAATCTGGTGAGGACCCTAATACGGAATCATTTTAGACCCCCATCAGGAATACGGCAAGGAAATGAGATTCCCAGTTGATTTAATCTCTTTAATGACTAGGCTCTGTGTGTATACAAGCACAGATGGGAAGAGATGGGCACTGATCATTTAAACATTTTGTATTGCAGCCCAAACGAAGCCACCAATAGAAAACATCGAGACATACCAAGATCAAGGAATTGATGATAAGGGGTTTATGTAGGTTGACTTCAACAAAAGGTATACGCCGCCTTTTATAGGTTGAGCACTTTGGAAGTAAGAGAATTTGTCAGCTGCTGCTATTAACGCTAAAAGCTCTTCTTTATGAACTGAGCACTCTGGTAGCCGGTAATGCTTATATCTCGTATATAAGGTGTTAAAAATTCCCTTTCTCCGCTGCATGAGCTGAGTGCTTAAGGGTGAGAGTCTTCGACTAATGTCAAACCGGTCGGGTTTCGATCCTGGCTTGACGCAATCACATATCTATCCACACTGTGATACAGCAAGCGGTCTGTCTGTAGATGACTATATGATATATATATATATATATATATATATATATATATATATATATATATATATATATATATAGCGATGCTAAAGTTGTATAAAGCCAAAAATTGCCGATAGTCAATAGGATATTGAGAGAAAAGACATTTAAGGCAAGCAGTCTTTGCAACAAAGTGGTCAATATCAAAGATAGATCATTAATAGGATTAATATAAGTAAAAGGTTTCTCACTTAGCTGATTGATGTTATCTTCAGCATCCCGACTCCAGACTTTACTTGCGTGCAAAACTTTTGGTCTACCTTGGTAAATTAATTATTTTTGTCAATTTTACCCGAAAATCGGGAGTGATTAGCGGTAAGCATATCTTTATACATTTTATGACCTTTGATGAGCAGAAAACAAAATTGCATTTTCATTATTGCTGTTCTAATAGATGATAGAGTATCTTAAGTATAGTGATCCTGTGAACAAGCCATGCAATAATACTGGGTCAACAGCGAAAAGTTCACCTTTATACTCTTTTCTTCAGTTAACAAGGAACTATCTATTGATGTGTATTATGGAAAAAAGTATGAAACGTCAAATTATGGAGTTATTAATTAGAGTTGCTGTTTTTGCCTCAGTCATTATATGGAAAAAACTACGTATTTTCTCCTTAGTAATTTCTTCTCATTCTTCTCGGCAGTAATCCCAAAGCTTTTGGAGATCTCATCTTTTTAATTGAGACACTATTTTCTTCATTTCCCACCACAATGGTTCAATTAGATTGAGATCAGTACTTTGTGCTGGTCATTCTTCCACAAGAAGTCTTCTTGTTGCGCATGATGTGTGGCAAGAATTATCGTCATAAAATATTCTAAACATGGAAAGATAGAATTATAGATATGTCGGATAGATTCTGGAGAGAAGGTTTGTTTCGAACGATACAGTGAACCAACTTTCTTAGCAGCTGGCCTAGCAATTGATTTAATATATTCAAAATATATATACACTGGCGTGAAATGAATTATTTTTGTCATTTTTACTCCAAAATTGAGATGGATAAGAAGTATTCTTTTCCTGGTACATGTTATGATTTTTGAGGTCGGTCCAGAAAACAAGTTACTGCATTTTCATTACTGTTGTTTAGTGGATGATAGAGCATCTTAAGCATAGTGAGGCTGAAAATACGGTCATGCAGGTAATACCGGGGTCACCAGCACAAAGTTCTCCTTTCATCTCTTTTCTTCAGTTAAAAAGGAATTTCCTTGTTTTGCAAAATGTGATCTTACAGAAAGTTCGTGACGTCAAAGAATGGAGTTAGTAATTAGTGTTACTACCTTTGGTTTGAATAATTGCCTCAATTCGACATGGCATTGAGTCGAAAAGGTTTTAAATTTTCTCTTTGGGATTATTTCCCCATTCTTCTTGGCAATAGTCCAAAAGCTGTTAGAGATTGCGATGTCTTTGTTGGAGCACTTGTTTCTTCAGTTTTCACCACGATGGTTTAATTATATTGAGATCAGAACTTTGTGCTGGACAGTCTTCCAACAAGAAAAATTTTTGTTGCATGTGTTGCAAGGAGCATTATGCTAAAAATTTCTCCAACTTCGCAGTCTGGCAAACGATCAGACTGTAGTAAACTAATATAGATTTGTGGTTTAGGTTTCCATCAATTTTTACCAATTTTCTTTTACCATCGCCATTACGCGTCAACCATCAAATTTTGCTGTCGTTGTTGCGTATCTTGCATTGTTTCTTTTTTGCCATTAGTTTTTTTTTTACATATTCACTTGCATTAGAATGAAAATCAATAAAATTTACTTTTTGCCACTTTTCAGCATTTTAAATAAGATTTTCTTTGATCATTTCAAACTTCTATTCAGAATTGTTTTGGTTAATGATGTTTTTATTTTTTGTTGCTATACTTTCGTTCAAACATTTTCTGGTCTTCCGGTTTTCTTTGTACTTAAAACACTTCCGGTTGTAGCAAATGTCTTTTGGTTGGTTTTTGAACATTTCCCAGTTGCCTGGCTATTCCACACTGATTCATCTTCCCCATTAATATGTAATGGCGTGGGGCTTTACATAGTTGGTTTACCTCCACCGAAAATGCTGGAGGAGGCAGACAATGACGAGGAGACATATGGGTAATATTAACAAAATAAGATAAAGAATTTATTGACGAAGTTGTATCAATAGCTCGTTTCAAGAAAATGAAGCACAATTTTTTAAAGTTCCAAGTTTTAATGAATTGTCATGAAGAGGAAATGTTCATACTGTGGGATCTTCCACAACAAACCAGCCTTACCTCTTTTTAGGAAATGCACTCTTCCTATCTGGTAAGTAACATCCTACTTTCATACAAATATAACAAGTATTCATTGGTCAATCACCTCCAATCTAGCTTGCTGATTGGTCAGTTCCGACCAATCAAACCGCCTGCACGCGACCAATCTGTTTTTCCAGCTTTCTCCGTTTGAGCCTCCCACGTGGTACACGACCATTATATAAACCGAACACGTGTGAACTTTTTGAGTAGTTTTCATTCATCTCTCTTGCACTTCTCATTCCTTGCTGCCAAGTGCCAAGATGTAACCTTCACCAACTCCCGTCTTAGTCATTGCTGGCCAGACGTTAAAGACAATTATCAACATTCACGAACTCTGAAATCACTCCTGAACTTTTACCAACTTTGCAAACACACAATACCAAACTTTCTTAATATGAACTCCGGTACAACTAATACCTAATCAAAGGGACACGACTCTGTCCTACCTTTACAGTTCGCATGCATGTACATCAAACTTTAATAAATCTAATTGTTATGTTTTAAAATCATTCAGTTCAGTTTTGTATTTTATTCTATGTGCTATTTACGTCAAGTATAAATTGCATTGTGTTCACGCATTGTCCTGAATCTCATCTTTCCTAGCCAAAGTTAAATATTGGTACCCCTATCGCTACAATACAATAGATTGAATGATCTGACACAAAATAAAATAAAAAAAATGTTTAAAACAAAAGTAAGAGTGTTCATTGCCCACCGAAGGAATATATGGTTGGCATACATTCAAAAGTAGACGAAGTGACATAGTTTGAAATACTTACCTTTCTTAAATTGTTGGAAGAAAGTTCTTTGAAGTACCAAGTGCTTGTTTAAGGCCGATAATTTGACACTGGTGAAAATCTGAATACTGGATGCGTGAATGAAACTTTTCACGTGGATTCAGCCACTCCAGTTGATTTAATTTATTTCTTATATATATATATATATATATATATATATATATATATATATATATATATATATATATATATAAAAAAGATTTCGCATAGGCTCGCTATTTTCTCTACTTTCTTTTTCTAGGATCAACGGCTAATTCCTTTGAAAACAAGGTTTTCATTGATTCAAAAAATATTTCACATAGGCTAGCGAATTTGCTTTCGTTTTTTTCTCATCTCACTGGCCAATCTCTGTGAAGTGAAAGTTTTCATTGCTCCAAAGAAAATTTCACATAGGTTCGCGAATTTATTTCCGTCTTTTTTCTGAGTTCGCCCGAATTTGGAGTGATTGATAA